TCTGCCTCCCGAGTGCTGGGATTAAAGGCGTGCACCACCATGCCCAGCTACGTATTATATATTTAATATCAACCAAATCACACTTAAACAGGATGTTCAATTACCATTGATTAGCATGATACTCAGTGGCAATTAATTTGAACTAATGAATTCCTATTGCAATTTGTGTTAAGTTTATCATTAGTTGAATTGGCCAAATTCCTATATACCAGTCTATATGGAAGTATCCCAGTAATTTAACAGTAATACAGTAGTACAGGGGTGTGGCTGAATGTTATCCTGAAACATGAATGCTCATAGATTATCCCTATCACAAGAGGTTGCAAGCAATATAATTACCAAAAAAATGAAAGCATACAAATATGTATGTGTGTATGCATTTATCTATTTTTGTGGTGTTGGAATTGAACCCTGGGCATGCTTGTGCATGATGCTGGGGATTGAACCCAGGGCCTTGCTAGTGCTCGAAAACACTGTACCACTCGGCTCCACCCTCTAGCTCTTATTTTGTACTCCTAAATTAATTTTATAGTATATTAGAAACTCTACCTGACATATGATTACTTCAATAAATAGAGTTTAGTCACCATTAACCGACATTGTTTCATCATTATTACTGCATCTTATTCAGCATCTCATTAGGAATGTGTCACATTATATAATTATAATGTTTATAAATTTAAAGATGCTACCTCTCGGGGCTGGAGAGCTAGCTCAGTGGTTAAGAACACTGGCTGTTCTTGCAGAAGACCCGGGTTCGAATCCCAGCACCCACATGGCAGCTACAACTCTCTGTAACTCCAGTTCCAGGGGATCCAATAGCCTCTTCTGTCCTCCGAGGGCATTGCACAACATGGGTGTACTTACCTACATGCAGGCAATACCCGCATACACATAAAATTAAATAAATAAAAAATATTTTTTAAAAAAATGCTACTTCTCAATAATTGCTTGTTAATTAGAGTATGACTTTAGACACTGCTTCTTTAGATACTGTGATTTTAGTGTTTGACAGATCTACTTTTGATTATAATAGCTGATATAAAACATATAGATTATCTTAAACATTTAACTTCCCTACCATCATCAATCTAACAAGGTCTTCATTTTTCTGTTTTTCTTTCGACATGTGTCATAAATACTTTTGAGGATCAAGTGAAAGCTTAAGATTGTCTCTATGGTAACAGTTCCCAACCTGAGAATCATTTTGAAGTTTTGTTGTTTTTAAAAAATTGTTTATTTTTATTTTATGTATATGAATGTTTTGCCTACATGTATGTAAGCTCACCCATGTCATGCATTGCTCATGGAGGCCAGAAAAAGGTATTGGATCCCTGGAACAGACAATTATTAGCTGCCATGTGGGTGCCGAGAACCAAACCCAGATCTTCTGCAAGAGCAGCAAGTGCTCATAATAACAACTGAGTGATCTCTCCAGCCCCCATTTTGAAGTTTTTGAACCCAAGTACAAATGCATATACACCTCTACCCATACCCTTGTTTCCTCTCTTGAGCAATATTATGCTTAAAGGTTCTAAGTACAAGCTACACATGTGGCCTAGTCTGCCATGCAAATGCCTTATAACCACAGGAAAATGACGCCTCAAAGCCTGATTTCTCATCTATGAACAGATTGTAAGAGAAACATGCACTTGCCTTGTAGAAACAGGACTTACCCATAAGGAGTGATTGTGGTGATTGTAAAGATTTGTGCATTGTAAGACGTGTGGTCTCCAGCCTCTCATTCAGATTTTTCTGGTCCCATATCCTCAACTGTAAACAACTAATATTGAAATTTGGATGGTATATGGTTTGGGCCCACTTTAAAGCCCCCTTTGCATTAGTGAAATTTAAAGATGAAAGTGCTTCTGACATACTTTAAATTTGTCACTTATAGGGGCTGTAGAGATGGCTCAGCGGTTAAGAACACTGGTTGTTCTTGTAGAAGACCTGGGTTTGAATCCCAGCACCAACATAGCAGCTAACAACTGTCTGTAACTCCAGTTCCAGGGAATCCGACAGCCTCTTCTGTCCTCTGCGGGCATTGTACAACACAGGTGCACTTACCTACACACAGGCAATATATGCATACACATAAAATAATAAATAAAAAAATTGTTTTTAATTTGTCACTCATCTCAGGGTACCTTTGAAAGTGAAAGGAGGATGATTAAAAACAAAACAGTGATTCACATCAGCCAGGACACAGCGCCCCTGTCTGTGTGGAGAGTGTAGAAGGTGGGAAAGATGGCCATGTGTCCCTGCCTTCGGTTTCTTCATCCAGAAACACAACCTGCTCACTTAGTGCTATATTAAGAATTATAGTAGAAAATCATGTTTGCTTTGCACTTAACAAAGATATGATTTCCTTATAAAACTTAAGGACAAATAGTTTTTGTAATGAAAGTAATTAAAAATTCCTGTTCAGTGATAAAGTCATCTATTTAGTCAGCCCAGGTACAGATAAATTCTTAGGCTAGGATCTTTGAGTGCATTGCAGGACCTGATATATGCCCCAGCCCCCCCCCCACACACACACTGTGTCCTATTTTCTTTTTTTCTTTTTTTTTGAGACAGGGTCTCCCTGTAGCCCCCACTGGCCTGGAACTCACTATGTAGACCAGGCTGGCCTTGAACTCACAGAGATCCACCTGCCTCTGCCTCCCAAGTGCTGGGATTAAAGGTGTGCGCCACCACGCCCAACCTATTTTCTATTCTTATTAAAACTCTGCTAAACATTTTACACACTCTGAAGTTCACCCGTCATTGCACATCTTGATCTTCTCCACCCCTACTTTCAGTCCCAGAGGGGCTCTCAGTCTCCACAGAGAAACCATTTTCAAAAAGTAATGTGGGTAGATTCATATAGTATGTAATTCTTTACCTATGAGATACTTGTAAGGTTTTTTTCATGTTGTAGCATGTATGATTATTCTTTACTTTAGTGCTTGGTAATAAAAGTGTAAAGAATATCAGCAGTGTAAGAATATCATGTTTTATTTGTTCCTTTACTGTAGGAGGCACATTTGAATGGCTTTCCAGTTTTTAACAATGTACCTGCCAACATTTGCTCCCAGGCCTTTGTGTGGACATGTTTTCATTCCTCTTTACAGAAGGGTCACATAGTAAATATATGCTTCA